GCGTTCATGTCTCTGCTGTGGCTGTGGATGTGATGTGGCCAGCTGCTTAAATTCCTGCTCTGATTTCCCTGCAAGATTGGACAGGAACTTGGCATTGTAAACCAAATAAACCCTTTCCTCCCCTTTCTGGTTTTTTGTCAAAATGTTTTATCACAGCAAGAGAAATGAAACCCGGACACCATCCTTGATCAAGCTTTGGTCAGAGGACAGAGGACTCCATAATGATGAGGTCAGGTTGACCAACAGGGAAAGGAAGACATGGTGAGGACACTTCTGATTTAGTTCAGTCACCTCCTCTCCAGTGTCCTCGTGTGTTCAAGACATGTAGATGTCTTTTGTTGTTGTTTGGTGATGGGGTCTGGCTGTGTAGCTCAGGCTGGCCTGGAACTCACAATCCTATCCTAGCCTCTCTAGTGCAGGGACTACAGGTGTGTATCACTATGCTCGGCTGCATACATGTCTTAAAATGCCTCCTGAGACCCAAGTGCACCTTGTCTTCCAAGCCACCAACATTATTTGTTGTTGATCCATGTGGTCCTTGTCTCTAGAATGCTGTCCCCTTTCCACTTTACCTACCATCTCCAGTGCATTCTTAAGAACTCATTTCAATCATGTTTTTTCCCCTATTCTTCCAGACAGCCATGTTTAAATTATTTTTATGTTGTGTATGAGTGTATTGCCCACATGTATGTAAGTGCACCTGTGTCATACAATGCCCACAGAGATCAGAAGGGGGCATCAGATTCCCTGGAATTGGAGTTACAGACAGTGGTTAGCCACCATGTTGGGTGCTGGGAACTGAACCCAGATCCTCTGCAAAGCAGCCAGTGCTCTTAACCACTGAGCCATCTCTCCAGCCACCAGACTGCCATTTTTCAAACGTGTGTGTGTGTGTGTTTGTGTGTGAAAGTGTGGTCTTATATATGCCAGAGTGTGCGTGTAGAGGTCAGACTGCAACCTCTGGGATCAGTCCTCATCTTCTACCTTGTTTGAGTCAGGGTCTCTTGGCGTTTGCCTGAGTGGCTAGCTGCCACATGAGCTCCTGCTCATTCACCAGTTCCTGCCTCTCTCAGTAAGAGCACTGCACTGGGATTGCAGAGGCATACTACCACACCAGGCTTTATGTAGGCTCTAGTGTCCAAAGACTGGTCCTCACACTTCTATGGCAAGAACTTTAACCACAGAGCCATCTCCCCAGCCCTTTCTGTAGGGGCCTCATTTGCTCTTTCCCATTTTACTTGTCATTATATTTCAACCCTTATTTGATTTCTGCCTCCCTCCCTTTAGGCCATACATGTGAGAAGACACAAAATAATGGTCTTGCTCATACCTAATAATATGATATTGGGTACTTAAGTGCTTAATTCATTTCCATTGAATGAATGAGCATTAAACAAACTCTATTACTGGCATTTATGAAGTCTCTCTTGGATCAAAAGATATTTTGATACCTTATACCCTTAATGTACCACATGCTATTAGAGTATACCTTGAGCCCTTAGGGGCAGACACATTTAGCCAACCTCCCTTTTTTCAGCTGTCAAACAATACTATCTCTGTGGATGTTGCTACACCTACCCTTTTTGATGATTACTTACCCCTTCAGCAAGCTGTTGCCACTGATGGGAACATGGGGGGGGCATGCCTTGTGTCAGGATACAAACTTGGATTTGGGGTGACAAGTCCTAAGGATGGTGACAGCTTCTGGCTCTCTAGACCCTTCTGTCTGTTCATGCCAATGTGATGTGAGGATGCTAATCCTTATCCCACCACCAGAATTCTTTTAAGCAACTTCAGATTTGTTAACATTTTCTTTGCTCTGTATTTTGTTTTGCTACCATTGAAATAACTTCCAGAGTCAGATGTTTAAAAATATCTGGGTTGATATTCCTATATGGGAATACAAGTTCCTATAATACAAGTTGCTTGCTACTCTTACAGGAAGTTGGGAAGAGAGAGCTGTGGGAGAGGGCACAGTCTCCTGCCATGTTTAGGAGGAAATACCTGGGATAATTTTGTCCATTTAGAAGGCATGAATGAACTGGGGATATAGTTCAATTGGTAGTTTACTTACCTTGTACGAGTCCTGGGTCCAATCCCCAGGACCACATAAACTGAGTATGGTGGTGCACACCTGTAATAAATCCCAGCTCTGGGGAGGGAGAGCTAGGATGGTCAGAAGTCATCCTCAACTATATAGTGAATTCAAAGATAGTCTGGGCTACGTGAGACTCTGTCTCAAAAAAACATCATTTTCATTGTGCTAGAAAGTGATTTTATTCCCACACCTAGGCATATCCTCCAACACAATTCGAAGTTTGGGAGAAAAAGAATGAATCAAGTATCACAGAGCACTTTCCCATGGTAAGAGCAGCCATAATTTACTGAATGTTGAGTCTGTGTAAGGTATGTTTACATATGCATCATGTATATCAACTTAGCTAATCCCCTCTCCAATCTATTTGTACCCTTATTTTATATGGGAACAATGAAGCTCGGTCCAGCCAGGGAAAAACATTTAGTCTTTTAGTTTGGAATCCTGACCTCTGGAAATTTTTATTTTTTCCCCTTAAACCTTTTATTACATTTCTTTCTTTCTTTTTTTCTTTTTTGGTGTCTGCATGTGTGTGAGGTCAGAGCACAACTGGTCAGAGCACAACTTGCAGTTACCAGTTCTCCCTGAAGATGGAATTCAAGTGGTTAGGCTTGGTGGCAGGTGCCTTTATCTCCTGAGCTATCTCACCAACCTGATTTTCAGATATATATATATCATATATGATATATATATGATATATATGATATATATATATATATCACATATATGTAGTATGTATTTTAGGGTAGAAAAGATCCTGTAGGTCACCAAAGCCAAGTTTTGTAGGTTTGGAGACAGTGACCCAGGGTGGGACCCCCAACTTTCCCACTTACCAATTGTGTGTCCTTAGGCAAGTTCACTTATTTCTCAGACCCTTGGTTTCCCCATCTGTAAAAAAGGAACAACCCTGCCTTTCATGTGGGAATTGTGAGGGTTAATTTGAGGCACTCATATGACTGGGTTAAGAGATACTTAGATAGCTCATTATGTCTGAGTCTGTCCATTGGGTATGCCTAGAAAAGACTGCAATTTGAATCTATGGACTGAGTAAAGACTAAAGACAAGTTGGCCTCATCTCAATGTGCTGAGGGCCTGGATAGAAGAAAGAGGCAAAGCAGAGGTGAACTTGTGCTTTTCTCTGGAGCCAAGGACATCAAACTTCTGCCCTTCAACATAACAACTCCAGACACTCTGGCCTTCAGATTTTGGGACTTGCACCAGTGTCACCCCCCCCAAACCCCAACTCCAGTTTCTTAGACCTTCAGCCTTGAGCTGAGACCTATATCCATAGGCTCCTCTGGTTCCCAGGCCTTTGGACTTGGACTGAGCTGTATCATAGACTCCCATGGTTGCACATCTTGCTGACAGCATATCATGGGGCTTAGCCTCTGTGATAGATCCCCTTGTGTGTCTTTTAAAAATATTTTATTTGTATTTTACTTTTATGTGTGAGTGTATTGTCTGCATGTGTGTAAGTGCATCAGTGTTGTGCAATGCCTGCAGAGGTCAATAGAAGGCACTGGTATCCCCTGGAACTGGAGTTATGGAGGGTTGTTAGTTGCCATGTGGGTGCTGGGAACCAAACCCAGGTCGTCTGCAAGAGCAGCCAGTGCTCTTAACAGCCATCTTCCCAACCCCCTCATGTGTCTTTTTCCTCTTGTTTGCTTTTTTTTTTTTTCTGGAGAGCCAGTAAGTGATGCAGGGTCACTGGGAGGACTGACCAACTTAACAAATGTGCTGCCCACTAATTTCGCCTTCTCTCACTCCTTGTCTGTTGGGCTACATTAGAATATTCAGGGAACAGTATCCTCTGGTCTATCGTTTCCAGAAGAATAAACAGGTTGGGAAGGTGGGTGGGTCTGAATTTGCTGATACTGACGTGACTGTCAGGCAGGATGTATTAGCTCAGTCGGTACCTGATGCAGCTTGAAGGGAAACACTAAAACCTTCAAAGCTCTTGATTTTCACAGACACAGCCACAGACAGACCAGCTCACAGGAGCTTACAGAACAAGACTCTTCCACAAGGCGGGCAGGCCCTGGACTCACACTTATTCAAATACTGTCTTACTATGAATACATGGTGCAATTTTTTCATTCGCAGAGTTGGGAGCCTATGGGTACCCGCTTTGAGACACCCTCAACATATGTCAGCCCCTTTTTAAAAGCAATTATTGAGGTTTCCACAGAGAGGAAGTCCCTTGGTTCTTCTCTGTAATTTCATATGTACTCTGGTTCTATGTCTATGTCTCATTCCGTGCTTTCTGGGGGAAATGCCACCTGTCTAAGGTATCAGAATCGCACACTACTTTCCTGGCTTTGCAGAGGGAGGCCTTAGGGAGCTGGTGCAAGAAGCATTTTATCATCACTAGCTCCACCGAGACCAAGAAGGGTTGCAGCACACCACCTCCCATCTCCTCGCGGTGGAGAACTTTGAGAGGCGAGGAGTGAAGCTGGGCTGAGATGCAGGGCCCTAGGGAAGAGGAAGGACAGGGCCTGGAGAGTGTCAAGGAGATGGGGGTGGGGCATCAGAACAGCAGGGTCGGCTTTCCTTAGCTCTGTGCCCTGCAGCTAATTGCTCTCAGGAATGGAGAGATGGTTAGCGACCCACTTATTAAGAGGAAGGAAAACGGCTGCACGCACGCCAGGGACGGAGTGACTGATGACACTGACCAAGGGCGCAGCCATAGCTGGTGCAGGAGGCTCTGGGCTCCAGGGTCCAGGGACCCTGGCTCGCGCATGCGCCCGCAGCCGGCCAGGTGAGAGCGAGGCGGGGGCGGTCTCGCACCTGGGCGTTAACCCTTCACGGTCATGGTCTCGGGCGGCGTGGACGTAGGGGTGGGGAAAAAAGAAGCAGATCGTGAACCCCACAGGGCCTGACCTCGCCGGGGTCCGTACAACGCACCGAGGCGCTTCCAGGCCGGGGGTCCGTACGCGCCGCGTCCGGGCGGGCGGGGAAGCGCGGAGCGCAGCGAAGTCTCGCGAGATCTGGCGGCGGCGGTGGCGGCGGTGGCGGCGGCGGCGGCGGCGGCCCGGGAGGTGAGCGGCGGGCGGGCGGGGGGAGGGGGCTGGTGGGGGGGTAAGTGGCGGGCGGGCGAGTGGAGGTGGCTGTTGGGGGGTTAAGGAAGGGGAGAGCGGCGGAGGGCGAGGCCGAGACTCAGGGAGCGGGGCGTGAGGGTGGCTGGCGTTCTCTGCGGCCCACGAGGCTGCTGCGGCGCCGCCTGGTCCGCGCCGTCCCGGGACCCGCGCGGGGCGGGGTGGGGCGGGTGGCCACAGTCTCGGGGCCGAGGGGCCGGGCGTGCCGTACAGCGGGTCCCGGTGCTCGGCAGCGGCCTGGGTCTCCCTGGGCGGCTGGGCGGGAGCTGCTGGCCGGGGCAGTGCGGTGGGAAGGTAGCTTTGCGCTGTGCCAGGCACTTAATTTGCGCGCCTCCAGCTGGAACTGCACGGAGAGGTGCAGTGCCCTGCCTGCGGCCACATTGGGGACGTGATGGGATGCGGATGCCCCACGCCCCTTGCTCCCCTCGGGTCCTCCTCCCCATCCCTGCTCGCTGCCCTTTTCTTGGGGTCCTAGCGGGGCTGCAGAGGGTGTGTCTGAAAGACCTCCTGAAATTGCTTGCAGCCTCCCTCCCGTGTTTCTCGGGAGAAAGTTTTTCCGCGGCTGGCTTTTGTCCTATCCCTAAAGGTCCCTGTTTATGAATGTTTAAGGACCATCATTTGGCCCTGTGTGAGAGCAGGGCCCTGGGGGTGGCGTCTTAGGCCCAATGGAATAGCCCAATGCTTGCCTTAGAAGAAGAAAACTTTGAAGAGTTTGAGTCTTGTCAGAAGCACGTGATTCCACCTTTCAGATGAGTGGTTGTCAAGCTCAGAATCCAGGCCCCTCGCTTCCGTGGCAAATGTCTGTGAAGCCCGTTTTACCCCCGTGAAATGAAATTCATAAATGATGGACCTACACATACATGATCGAAGATCAGTATCATGTTCCCATGTAGATGGGAGGAAGTAATTAAGGGAGACCAGTACGGGACATGTTCTCTGGTACAGGTCCCTTCGGCCAGAGTAATACATATGTAATTGTGTGTGTGTGTGTGGTTTGGAAATCAAGAACGGATAAATATAGGGACTAGAGAGAAAACCATTTTATTTTGGTACAATTTATGCTAATAAAAGAGAGACGGTCTAAATTGAACTAGGAATAGCATACTAAGATAAATTCCAGCCTCTCTCAACCAGCACGCAGATAAGACCACCCTTGCAGAGATGTGTTAATTCTATACTGTAATGTAAACCATCTTTTGTGTCACAAACTCAGGTACTGCTATTAAAGGGATCATGCTGAATTCTTACTGTTGATCCTGGGGGATAATGAAATAGTAACAGGAGTGAATGGTTGGGTTCAGCAGTGTCCTCTCCTAGCATGAGCTGTCCATGCTGTGCTTGTGTGCCCAGGGCGATAGTGCAGGATAAGAGTGGGCTTTGTGGAAGTGAGCCCTGGTTTTCAGACAGTTCTCTTATTCTCAAGGCTTCTCTCACTGCTTTCTCCTACATGACTGAGGACTTGGGGGGGGGGTTCCATAGTTGCTCATCAAAATGGTTCAATACTGTATCTCAAAGTAATGGTCATCTCTAGTGGGCTTAATCCATGTGAAGACCTGTGAGGCCAGGCAGCCTTGATTATCACCTGTGCCAACCACACATTGCATGGAATCTGGATCCTGGGCCCCAAACACTGCACATGCCAGTGGCTGGCATCCCCCCAGTCTCTTCAGTAACTAATAGCATGCCTTGGGACAGTTCTGCCCCCTTGAGAACTACTATATAGAGTAGTCTCCATTATCTTGCCAGTTATAAGAAAGAATTGAACACAGTTTTCATTGGGAATTAAAATCTTTCTGAAGTGTTTGATATATAAAAAAGACATTGTCTTTGGTTAGTGATACTGATCAATTATTCTAGAATCTCCGTAGGCAAGGTTAGTACCTGTTAACCTGTAGTCAGTTCTGTTTCAGAATTCTTGTTGGAAATATTGACCACACTAGAACTGCTGAGCAGCTTGAGATGAGGCTGGAGGTGGTAACCCTCAGCAGTGGCCAGCGACAGGTGTGAGTGACCAGAGACTGGTCAGCACAGCCCCTCTTAAATGACCCTTTCGACTTAGAACTCGTCATATTAGTGAATTTGGAAAGTGCACATGTGCTCAAAAGTGAAAACTGAAATTTCCTGTCTCATCAGTCCTTAGGGGATGGCCCACAAGAAACTGTTGGTTAGAAACTTCCAGTCTAGCTGCCTAGGGAAGAAAACTCAAGAAAGTTGAGCTTTATAGCTACAGTGTAGCAAGCTTCTTCAATTTATTTAAACTTGAAAAGAACGTTTATTTTGGCTTTTTTTCCTGTAAATATAAGTTGCTTCTTGCCATAGAATATTGATTTGTTGCTGGTACTGTGGAAATTAAAAGGCAAATAAAGGCTTATAAAATGGGATACTTTTTAAACTGTCTAGCCATAGATACATTGAACCCTATTGAGTTGAAAAGTCAGCCAAATAGAAAGTAATCAATTTTTATTGCTTTGAGCAAACAGTATCCTGTTCTAGGATAAAAGAGGCCAATGCTTTAAAAAAATGTAATCACTACTTTTTAAGAACACCTACCTGTTTTTAAATGAATTAAATAAGGAGTATCTTGAAGATATGGGGAATACTCCAGCTTTCTACTTTGCTGATTGCATGAAGCATGCACATCTTCACATCATCTTACATTTCACAGACACAAGATGCTAACCAAAAGGAAAATAAAACATTCTCCATGCACACAACTCTAGTGGATAGTTAGGAATGTCCTTGGATTTCAAGGTGCAGGTGGCAGATGGAATAGTGTCTAAAAAGTGGTGAGTTGTGGTTTATCAGGCAACATTTCTTCCAAGCATTACAGAAGAGGGTACCTTGACAGGGATGTCATCTCAGAATTAGAGAAATGAGGACCATATTACCATGTCCACACATTGGTTAATTTTTAACACCAGAAACTACACCCAAAGGATGACTTGCAAAATGAAGCAATGCACCATTTTAACTGGAACTCTTTACTCTGGAGATCTTAAAATAAATGTAGCTATCAGAACTGTTTATTTTGAAGTGTTTAGGAGAAAGCAGAGTATGCGTTGTTTTCCTGCTCATGCATGCAGGATTGTTTAATGGACTTGAAGAAGAGCCCCTCACACTTAGCAAGTGTTAGGGTGAATGAGGGTTATTTGGTTTCTTTTTCTATTCTGTAAAGCTTGTGTGTGTGTGTGTGTGTGTGTGTGTGTGTGTGTGTGTGTGTGTGTGTATTCAGTAATTGCTGCTTTAGTAAGAAATGTGTTTGAGGGCCTGGAGAGATGGCTCAGTAGTTAAGAGCACTAGCTGTTCTTGCAGAAAACAAATCCCAGCACCCACCTGATGGCTAACAACCATCCATAACTCCAGTTCCAGGGGATTTGATACCCTCTTCTGTCCTCCATGGGCACTGCACAACATGGGTGCACTTACATACATGCAGGCATAACACTCATGCACATAAAATAAAAATAAAAAAAGAAGTAAGTTTGAGCTCACTGACTGTAAAGTACACGGTTTGCATAGGGAGTAACTCCCTGGTGTCTGTAGCCAGGAAGCCCCTGGAAGAACTCTCCATCCACATTGAGGGCAGCCTTATAGGAAACCCGGCTGCTTTAGCACCTTTCCCCCAGGTGGACTTCATCTTTGCTTTTCAGGCTTAGTGGTCCCCAGGCCAGCAGCTCATAAGCAGCTGGGGTTTGTTTGGAATACAGACAGGGGCTGCACTGAGCCTATGAGAAGCGCTGGCTGAGGGACTGGTGAGGTTGCTCAGTGGTTAAAGTGCTTGCAGCACAAGCCTGAGAACTGGTATTCAGATTCCCAGGACCCACATAAATGCCAGGTTGGTGTGGCAGCCTGCCTGTAATTTGAGCCTCCGAAGAGGGAGACAGGATCCCCAGAACAAGCTGGCTAGCCACATGTTGGTGAACTCCGGGTTTGAGAGACCCTGCCTCAAAGAATGAGGTAGAAGAGCAGTGATGGAGGATGATTCCTGACATCAGCTTCCACAAGCATTCACACATACACACTCATGCACCTCCTCTCAAATGTGTTTTAAAACATGACACACACACGCACACAACGCATGCACGCACACAAATGGAAAGAAGTCAAAGCAGCAGCAGTAGCAGTGGTGCCAAACAGGATCTTGCGTTCTCAGACTGGAGCATGTATTCCCAGGGCTGCTAGTCCACTACTACAGAGCTGGTTCAGGAGTCTGGACAGGCATGGGGACATGCTGCTTTGAGTAAGTCATTGGTGCTGCTGCTGCTCCAACAAATGCACTTGGAGCATCATCAGGAGTATGCCTCATTGTACTGCTGCTCCTCTCTTCCAGTCTTCACCCCTCCAGATAGCTTTTTAAAGTATGGTTTATCATCACATGCTTGACTGAGGAGGAAATGTTTAACTTTTTATGATGACCGTGCCAAAATTGCCTTTCAATATTGAATTTTTAAAAATGTTTTATTTTATGTGTATGAGGGTATTGCCTGCATATATGAGTGTACCCATGTTGTGCAATGCCATGGAGGTCAGAAGAGGGCTTCAGATTCCCCTGGAGCTGGAGTTTTTGTTGCCACCGTGTGGATGCTGGGAATTGAACCCAGGTCCTCTGCAAGAGCAGTCAGTGCTCTTAACCATTGAGCCGTCTCTCCAGCCCCTCAATATTGAATTTAAGAGAAGTATTCCCTCTTAATGCTTATTCAGTTTGGACTCTGGTTTATAGGCAGTTCTTTTGTCTTCTTGGTGTGAAGTTCTCTCTTAACATTTAAGACAAAGTGTTCATATGGCTTAAAAACTTAAGGGACTTGAGCATATTTGGAAAGCTGAATTTTCAACTCTTTTGGGTCCTCCCCCATAGGTAACCTTATCTG